CTCTCCTTCCTTCTCTCTCTTCCTTTGTATCTTTTTTTTTCTCTCTTTCTTTTTCTGCCTGGTGTCGCTCTATTTTCAGCATGCGCGACATAGTTGTATCTTTCCGAAAGCTGTAGCGTGTCATATTTCTCGTTATATCAGGTAATATAGGTAATATGCTCGTTAATAACAATCTGCGGCATAGATGGCACGTAATTGCCTCTGTTTCCCGAATACTGGCCGGTGAACCTTCATCGGGGCTGCCTCCGTGTTCCAATAAGTAGCCGAGAACTTGAACACAGTTTGATATAACGAGCCATCCAACTCCCGCGAGAGTCCAGAATCGAGCCGGGCTATCTATTCACCTCAGCGGAAAGATTTCAAATTTGCTCGAAGGCAATGTTAAGTCGTATCTACTTAGTTTCGACAATAGAGGAGGACAGATTTCCAGTAGCATCGAGTTTAGTATTGGGAGTATAAGAGCGATGAGTGGTCCATTCGATTCGGAAGAAGTCATTTGTGATCGATTTAATCCGATTTATCTCGCGATATTTAAAATATACAGACGCGCGTCCCCCATTAAATATTATTCATGACATTTTTGTGCACACGCATAATTATTGTTATATTCTATTTAATCTCTTTTTTTTCCGTTTTATAAATATCGCATTATTACGTTGATGTTAATTAATTTTCGTTTCGTTTCTCATTATCATATTTCTAACACAACTCGCGGTCGTTCGAGAACAAGGCATTGGACATGGATAATATATCGAATCTCGTGGAAACTATTTACAATTTTGATGGAGAATTATTTAGATACGTACCGCGCGGGCCATCGCGTTAAACCTCTTAAAGGAAATAAGGATTTGCTCGTTCATTCAACTTACGGTAACACGCCCTCGACGTCGAAGAAGTGGAAATGAAGGTGAACCCGCTCGCTAAGGTGACCATTGAAGAAGTAGTGGCACTCTGTGTTACGAGGGTATAGCCCAGGGTAATTCGGCGACGCGAACGTACCGTTGCGGGTCTCGTTGCTGTTGAAAACAAAGGCACACGGATATTTCTCCTCCTGCCGTCCTGTCGTTATACCGAAGTCTGAAACGGTAAAACGATTCGTAAGTACGCTAAGAGGAAACTCCGGAAAGCGTTTCTGTCTCCTATTCCGATTCGAGTCGCGCGATGACGTTACTCCCCAGATAGACAGGCGTGCGTAAATAAATGGCAACAACTTTGCTAGTCGACTTGTAAAGGTTACCCACGTCCCTTGTGGGTGGTTTATATAACAGTCATATTTATCACATAAAATCACAGAATAGAAATAAGAGAAAAAATATGAAAGAAATTACCAAAATTTTGTTAAAACAATATGTCATGTAAAATGTAATATGGAAATCTAAAAACAACTTTTAGTGAACTATATTGCTGCATTAACATAACCAAAAATTGCATTATTATATGATGTAAATTTAATAATAATTAATTCAATATAGTATATTAAGTAAGTTTTATGATTAAGAGAACTGTAAACTTTCCATTATTGCCTCACGTCGTGATAATTATGAAAGTCTATCTGAGAACTTCACTAGTCGACTTGTGAAGATTGCATTCCTTATGAGAAATGATGAAATACGCGCGAGGAAGAAAAATATAAATAAAATTATTAAAATATACTCAAAACAAAATGTGTTATATGTAAAATGTAATATGAAAATCTGAGAGTAACTTTTAATAAATGTTATTGCATGAATGTAATAAAGAAATTGCATTATTATATATGACATAAATTTAATAATTGATTCAATATATAGTATATTTGCTTCATAAATCTAATTTACAGAAAGTTTTGGAGCTTCCATCATTGATTGTTTTACGACGTGATAATCATGAAAATTTATATGAATCCCTTTTGACAAACAATTCGTTAATTATTCCGATGTTATAAAATCATTATTTATTATCAAGGAGAAAGAGAGAAAAATGGAAGGGGGAGGATATGGAAAATTATTTATAATTAATATGTGATACAATTTATAATACATTATTAGCACAAAAGAAGAGCATCAACTCTTGTTTTTTGGCAGTCGACATTTATCACTCCTACATTACCTCATTACTGCAGGGCGTTTGTAATTCCCTGAGCGGCTTAATAAATATTGACACGTACTAATGGCTGACTGAATAACGTAACGTAAATCACCGACGGTACCAATCGTGACATTGTAATACGCTCGAGAAATATGAATAATGTCGGAGTAATTACTAATGTATTATTAATCGACAGCTCTAACGTAGGCGGACACGAAATCAAATATTAAAGCGGGAATTTCGATCTGTTGCTGCGTGGTATAAAGCCCATGGATACTGCGTGTAACGCCTGCGGCGTACGATGCTTGTTCCCATGCCAGATTGCTTGCAAGGCGGTTCAGTGACAACAGTGATGTCTGAAAATGCTGCGGGCTGCGCGTCGCTGCATACGTCCCCGCATGACGATGATCCTTTACGTTTAGGTCCGCGTGATGCGCTACTGATTGCGAGCACGCGTCAATTAGAAAGATTTATTTTCAGTTCGTTCCTCCCGTCTCGTGAAAATTAAATTTCGTCACCGTTTAGATTACGATCCGTATGAAAAAAAATCGCCCTGTGTATCGTTGACACGGGATATACGGTAAAACTGTACAACACGCTCCAGTTGACAAAACGCGTCACATTCTCTTCTCGAAAACTAAACGTGGAAACGATGCTAGAGTTCCGACGTGTCTCAGTGTGTTCCTCGTCAAGGTACGGAGTGATATAATGTTACATCGCTGTTAAATACATTGAAAAGAAACTTTTTAATAGTACAAGATACATTCAGGCGAGTTATCTGCACAGGTGAGTTATTCATATTTTAGTCAGAGACAGTTTATAACATTCAGATGTTATTTATTCATGTGAGAACAGTTTAAAATAACTTTAATTTTATTTACGTTTGCATTATTTTGCTATTTATCTATAATATTTTATGAATGGAGTAGTTTGCACCACGGAAATTGTAAAACGCTTCACACGTAGTAAATATAATAGTTTATTTACGAGGAAAGGACACAGGATGCTTCTGGAATTTTTGAACAAAAACTGATAAGTATATAGAGAAAAATATATAGAAAACAGTGAAGAGGATCTCCATTTTCGTAACTGCTTGGAGTCCACATAAACTAACCCCACAATAATAATTTATTATTAAATTAAATTTCTTTCTTTCTTATCAAAATTAAGAAACCAAAATCACTCTAAAATGTTACTGTGATCATCTTCTATCAATTCAATAAAAAAATAAATAAATAAAAAATTGAACTTTTACAACAATGTAATATACTATATATATAAAAGGAAAAATTCAAACAAAATTACAAATTATAATAAAAAATCCACATAAAGATTTAAACAATCAGAAAAAATTATGCAAAAATTAGTCAATTTCATGATGATTAGTCAATTTTATGAAAATGATATACATCTTTACCTGCAAAGTGTTCAAAGCACAAATGTGCATGGCAATAGAAGTATTGAATTTAAGTTTTCAATCATTCAATACTTCAATTGCTACATTTTGTGCTTTGAACATTTTGCAGATGAAGATGTATATTATTTTCATGAAATTGACTAATTTTTGCATAATTTTTATTCTGATTGTTTAAATTAATCTTTAAAATTTGAAGTTATTAATAATATAAATTATTTGTTATATTTATGCAGCAACAAATTAAAGAAAGTTAAACTCAAATTTTTATATTACATTTTACATGACGTTTTACATCAAATTCTGATAATTTTTTATATTTTTGTCGAATTTTTATTTTTATACTTTACAATTCTACTAGTAAGGTTCTCAGATAGGCTTATATGATTATCATGACATGAGACAATAGATGCTGAAAACTCTACAATACTTTTAGATTGCATTTATGAGACAGAAATGTACAACATTGAGTAAATTATTAAATTTACATTACACAATAATATAAATTTTATGTTATATTGATGTAGCAACAAATTTACTAAAAATTACATTCAGATTTTCATATCCCATTTTACAGAATATATTGTTTTCAGTAAATTTGTAATATCGTCGTATTTCTACTTCGTCATTCTCTCTATATGATAAATATGAGTGCCACTCATACAACCAAGGATATAATTTTTACAAGTTGAATAATAAAGTTGCTATCTTTACATGCGCCTATCTATCTGATGCTTTTTGAACATCGATAAATCGTATCAAGTATTGTCGAATTTATGTGTTCAGTCAATATCGTATTCCACCGAGCAAAAATGGGCAGACGTCGAAATTAACCAGCTGCTTTATACAAGTGCAAAACAGCGGTATGCAGGACGATCCAATATGTGACGTCGAGCGTAAATCGTAATCCGAAAAACACGGACTTCATCGAATTTCACTTCTTTCCACAAGAAATCACTGCACACTTCGAGTTATTTCGATCGTGTCAGTATTGTAGTCTACGTCAAATATAGTTCGATCTGTTGAGAGCTGACGCCGGCTCCGCGTTGTCCCCACGACAAGCAAATTGAGAAGCACCTCGGGCCGGCGGGACGTAAAATAATTGAATAACTCCTCACAAACATTCCAAACGTCCGTTGTTGGCGCGACTTTGGCACCCTCCCACCCTTCTCTTCTCGTCACCCTCTCGACCGATTAAAATTTCTCGACAGAAGCGGCCGAAACCTCATTACGGACGACTCAATTAACTTCGATCGCGACGAACGCCCCAGAGCGACGGCGACGGCGGCAGCGGCGGCGGCGGCGGCGGCGACGGCCGGATGGTTTAGAAAGATCGGCGTTTCCTTCCCCGGGAAACTTCCCGGAAAGTGATTTCCATCCGTCGTTTTCTCTTTTTGAAAACTACCCATCCCGCGCGACGAACGACGTCGCCGTCGGCGATTCTCCCCGGATTCGGTACGGACGTTTACGGTATGAAAACGTAGGAGGACGTAGGAGGGAAAAAGAGGTCCGAGGAGAGTATGTTAATTACGAGGATCGGTCGCCGTTGTCACGGGCCTCCGTTTGAAATGACTCGGCCACGCGGCGGTCGCAGTTACGGCGGAACTCCTCTCGAGAGTTCCTAAAGTGCGGTACACCGCGTTGCGAGCGCGGGCCAAGTTTCCCCCGGGCTGTAAACATCGAGTAATAAGCTTTCGCGAGACTTTTGCGCTTAGTTAGCCGCATTTGTTATGGTCACCGCCGTGTGCGCGACCCGACTCGCCCGCGTCGTTGCGGCAGCGGCTGGTTCGAAAGGAGAAGGGCGTCGGCGGCGGCGGCGGCGGCTTCAGCCTCCGGGGAGAAAAGTGTGAAAACGTTTGAAAAGCTGCGAGAGCGCCAGTGAGGTCAACCCGGCGACCATTTTTCTCGACGGAAGCTTTTGCCGTGACCTCACATCGCGATCGTATTGTTCCTTTCATCGGTTCGCTGCCGCTGCTCGCGCGAAAGTCGACCGCGAGCTTGTCTGCTTCATATTCATAAGAGGTAATACTAAAATTCACAGTGGTAACCCAGAAATGCGAATAATGCATAGTAATCGTAGCCCAATTTGAATGAATATTGGTGGAATTTAGGCGAGACTGTGGAAGAAATCAATTTATTTATCTGTCTTCGCGCGAGTGTTCCTCTTACGTGCACATAAGTGAATTCCGCGAGAAAAACGTCGTCCCGAGGAGTCGCTCTGGAAGTGTGTGCTCAAACGTCGCGCGACTCGTTACGACCTGTAATTTTCCAATACCACACGGGGCAAATGTAATAATCTGCAGCCTTTTCATTTCGCGTTTTCCACCTGACTGCAATCGGAGCAAACGTTTCGTGTTTCAAACGCTTCGCCTATGGAGCAGGAAACAAAGAAAAAAAACAAAAAGTTCCTATAAATCCCTTTTCATTTATGGGACGTATGAATGACGTAAAATGTATGTGCAACAAAAAAACATGGCCGGGTGAAAAAAGCGATGACTTCGTTTTTTATTTGCGATGACAATATCAATTCACGGAAACGTTAAACTTATATTTACGCAGACACGCTGCGCACAAAGTTGATATTGATAGTTCGTTG